TTTTAATTAATTTTATTAAATAATAACATACTTAAATTTATTTTTATTATTTTATAGGAATTTTAGGAATTTTATACATTATAATTAAAAGAAGGAATCGATGAATGACTAATTTAATCTCCACTATAAATTATTCGTTATAATTATTTGTCTTTTTATTTTATCTTTTTTAAAGCTAAATTATAATAACGTTTTGAAAGAATAAACTTTTTGATTCTTGTTTCTATATTAAATAAAAAATTTCTAATTCGTGTCACATGAAGTTTTTTTAAAATATCTCGTTATTTTTATAATAAACTCACATCGGTTTATCATGTGTATCGATTCAAAGCGTCATCTTAACGACTATATAGTATAATATTTTCATTTCCAAAGCATTATTTGAAGTACTTCACTGAAATTTGAATTAACATTTGAACCAATCAAATTTTTTGATGGTTTTTTTTGTCCGTTATTTATTAGTTATTAGTATTAGGCGTAAGAAAGAAATTAGTTGGAACTGGTTATCCTTTTTTGTTTAGAGTTTTTTTAAGTGATAATCATTCGCCGATTTTTTTATTTTGAATTCTCTTTATTAATCTGAAGATTTACAAATTTCAACTTTGCTTAAGCTTAAGCGGGGGTGATGGACTAGCTGTCAAATAATCATTATTTTTTAAACCTAATTTTTTGGGTGACAAATTTCAAAGAATATTTTTTTAGTTTTCTTTGATGATCTATCACTATGTACAGTCTAAGCTCTCCATACCGAACCCATCTCTATATGTAACTTTTCTGTTTTTGTTCAGAGAGAGAAATTAATTATAAAAAATTGAATCGGGGACAAAAGGGAAGTGTTCGAAATTCAAATCGGCGGAGTCGGCGCGCGCCAACCAAACCTGGAAATCTATTGCAGATAATTTTTAAAATTAGACTAGTTTTATGTTGAGGCACAGTCGAATTTCGAACACTGGAAAGGCTTGGTATAAAGAGCTTAGACTGGATACCTTTCCCGCGATAATCGTTATAAAATATTTTTTCCAAATAAACAGAGGTTAGCATTACTGACTGGTACGTTTTTTATTAACAAATTTACAACAGAGAATTCAAGATAATCCTTTGTCTTTATTTTTACTTATTATTATCACATCTTGAATTCAAGACAATAGTTTATTTTATTAAATTCGAAACATATAATAGGATAGCCATCCCACATTTTTTCTTAATACCAGCATAGAAATATTTCAACTATTAGAAAAAGTTGTCACGCAAATAACAAAAAAATCACATATACTGTACAAAGAAACGAATTTAATAAATTTAATCATATTTTGAGAAATAGATAGATAAAAAGTGAAAAGCATCTTCACCTTTCTCAATGGATACATATAATCAATGAAAATAATGAAAAGAAGTGATTGTTAAATATAAGTGATTTGTATATAATAATAAAAAATGATGATAAAGAACATAATACCTAGTGGATGAGCCCTCACATCCACACCAACTCCGCCTCAACTTTTCCACCCCATCATCATCTAATAGAAAAAGAGAATAAAAAATAAATAACTAAGAATCAGTAATAAAGAACTACATAATGCAAAATTGATTAAAAGACGCGTTTTTACTAATTAATGCTTAACTGGAATTTGAATTATCTTTTTTTTGAACCCAATCAATTGTTTACACTAAAGTTTTTTTGCTCCTATTATTATTTATGGTAATAATCAATTAATAATCAAATTAAAGTTCTAACTTTTACTCCAAAAAAATTTCATGTGGTAAAAAAACTTTTGTGACGCGCAACTGTGAACTAAATTAAATAATAGTAGATCTTTAAACTAGCTGACTCGTAAAAAATTTATCTCAACTGCAACATCATATCTTCATTCCAATCGCTATATATACCTCCCCAAGCATATCATTCTCTAAAAAGATGCAAAAATGATGTTCTTCAACAACAAGTTGTTTTGATCATGAAATTTGCATAGGACAATCGGTGTGATAACCAAAATGACTGATCCTCAAAATGTTAAATGACATTTCCGACAACCCGCGATATCACAAAGGTGACTGTGCAGAAAAACTACTTACTTTGATATCAATGGAAGTCCTGCATTAAGACAACAATTTCCTCTTCAGAATGCCTTCGCACTTACCATCCACAAAACCCAAGGATTGACATTACCTCATGCAACTGTCAACATCGATGAAAGTATGTTCATGCCTGGTCTGGTATATGTAGCTATGAGCAGGGTGCCTTCTTATTCGTATGAGATCTTAGTTTTCGACTTTTTTTGTATAAAAATTGATCAATAATGATTCAAGAATACACAAGATTGAAAAACGTGAATCAGAGAGATCTTGGCCCAAAT